TAGATAGATAGATAGATAGATAGATAGATAGATAGATAGATAGATAGATAGATAGATAGATAGATAGATAGATAGATAGATAGATAGATAGATAGATAGATAGATAGATAGATAGATAGATAGATAGATAGATAGATAGATTGACAGATAGATTGATAAATAGATGTTTTATCGTTGTTTTTTTGTTTGATTTTATTTTTGTACAGCACTGTGGTCAGCTGTTATGTTGTATTTTAAGTGCATGATAAATAAATCAGTTTGGTATTCAAGTTGAGTTTTTTTTAATCTGTTCGTTAGTTTGAAAGTAACCAGTGGTGAGAGGGGAGTTGGTCCATTGAATCACTGCAAAGTGGACAGGTAACGTTGGACCCAAATGACGTATATTCTAGTTTATACATCTCTGAGCTGGACGCACCCACAGCACCGCTAACACACCCAAAATGGATTCCACCACGGAGAGTCAGAAAGAAGATACGCACCACCATGGCCTTACTACTGAAAGACTATTGAAAGACTATTGAAAGACTATTGAAATATTATTGAAAGACAATTGAAGAAAGACAATTGAAAGACTACTGAAAGACTATTGAAATATTATTGAAAGATTATTGAAAGACTATTGAAAGATTATTGAAAGACTGTTCAGTACAGCAGGACAGATTTTATCCCCCAAAGATCCAGACTGGACTGAAAAATCTTTGAAAACCAACTTCTGCTGAACTTGAACAAGAAATTCTTGCTGCAATATTAAAATGTGTCAGTTCATGGGATGTTAGGAGACAAGAGATGTCTCCATATGTCTCGACACTCGGGTCCAAGTTTTGAAAATGGTGTCAGGAAGTTAAAATATTGTTCACTATTGACCCATTACAAGGTTTAGACGGTATTTTAACTAGTTGATGACAAACTGGAGTTGAAATGATCAGATATTCCTTGTTAGGTTTAATGCTCCTTTTTTCAGGCAGACAACTTTTACTTAAATGTGTTTACTGCAGTTCAGGATGGGAGACTGCAATAAAGCCAAGATTCAACTTGTCTGCTGGATTCCTTAGATAGAGAACTTTACTAATTGGCTTTTATGTGAATGTTCCTGTAAAGTGCCCTGAGACAACTTTGTTGTGATTTGGTGCTAGATAAATAAACTGAATTGAATTGCAGTTAAATTTATACTTTGGTTTACTTTGTGTTAAATAAAAACTTTCAAAGCTATCATCATTCCTCTTTCTTATTTTGCTTAATGATATTTAACTCTGCATGTCATCCCTGAAGTTCTGACATAAAATCACAAGTCCAAGTGTGAACGGTGTCACAGAGTAACACAATAAAAACATGAATTATCTGCAGCATTGTTCATTAAAATAACTCAACACTGTTAATGTATTACAGAAAATATACATACAGTAGGCACACTTAATGATAATGTAGACCATTGCATTAGTTAACACATTCAGCAAGAACTTTTACTTTTAATACTTTAAGTATTTTTAAAAGCAAGTACTTACAGTATTTACTTTTACCAGAGTACATTTTTTCTGCTTATTTGTACTTTTACTTAAGTACAGTGTTTGAGTACTTTCTCCACCACTGTGCATTTGTAACACATTAAAATTATTATTTTTTCCCAATTAAACCACTTTGAGCAGCCCTTTCAATCACTTCTAACCAATCATAAAAATTCAGTTTTCTGGTTTGTATTGAGATGAAGAACTTTCATCTTTAATTTTGCTGACTAATTCACTTTGACACAAATTCGCCCGCTCACTCTCCCAGCCAGAAGCGATTAGTTCAAAATGGACTGGTGTGATCCTCTGTATAAATGGTTTTAAAATATTTTAGTTTCCTAGATGCAGGTTTTTGATCCATGCTGTGCTGTTGCCTCTAAATACAACTCGTTTTTAAAGCAACATAAAGCCATCTGAACCCCAAAATGTTCCGTTTTAGCCTGTTTAGCAGTACTAACATGATCATGATTACACATCTGGGATGATTTTGCTGGTTTTACAGTGAAAGACGTGATATCTGTATGCTTTTTAAAAACTGTTTTATTGTGGAAGCCCGTGAACAGTGAAACTAGAGCTTGTATTTTCTCCTTGCCTAGGGAGTGGACGAGGACCGGCACCAGTCGCAGCTGGTGGAAACACAGCAGCTGTTATATCAGGTGAATGCCACAAATTTCCCATCATGCACCAAGGCGTGTGAAGCTTATAATTCTATAAAACAAGCAGCTGCTTGGATCTTGTGAATTCACTTGTGATAAATTCTACCTGACAAGATGCTAAAACACTCTTCTGGAGGGAAACAGTTTTTAATTTGAAACACAGCAGAACTTGATGAAAAGGTTTAAACTCTCTCAGGGTTCATCCGGTTGTATTTTTGGCACAAATTCTTAAAATGTCACATTTAAAAAATGAGGATTAGATGTGGAGTGTTGATCAGACTGAACAGAATGTATTGCTCTCTAATTCTGTGTTCAGTCTTCTTCTATAGTTTCACATTTTGTGTCTCTAAAACATACAAACCAGATGTTCGTGTGTATTAACTTGTTGCTTTATTTTCGTTTACAAAGAAATGTTGTTTGAACATCCTAATTTTATGTTGGAAAAATCTATATTTTATCTATCTATGTATAAAATCATAATCATTTTTTGCAATACAGACAATTTGGCCATTTAAAGCAGTGGGTCTTATTTTTTAATTTAGCTTCTGTGGAAAGCTTTTGAACAATTAATATCTACTGGACAGCCTCAATTTGGAGAAATATGTTATTTATGACTGGATTGTTGATCATTTGGAATCTAAAACCAAAGTGGATGCTGTAAAAGATACTGACATATTTTAGAGTGATTCATGCAAACACTATTTTATAACTAATTTACAATCATTGTCAGTTTTGCATGACAAAGTTATTATCTTCAAATAATTCTGTAACACTTTGTAGCTGTAATGAGCAGCAGCAGCTAGCTGTAGCACCTACTTTGCCACCTTGGACACTTTCTGCAGAAATATAATTCTGTGTGCAACAGCCATCCGTGTAAAGGTTTGTGAAGAAGTGTCTGCATGATCCTCTCAGAATTATTTAGGTTTGCTTTAATGTGTCAGAAATCCACTTTGGTCTTGACCCCCTGTTAGTTAGCATTAGCTCATTAATCAGGTCAGACTTCTGCTCTGTTTTCCCCTGAGGGTCATCTGCAACAGGTAACATATTAATTGTTCAGAAATGGCTTAATTGATTGATCTACCATCAGTGTGCTGCAGAATCCAAAATAAATCCCATGAATAATGCACTAAAGGACTTGTCCATCCACGTCTGTCTGCAGAACAGTCCTAACCTGGGTCACTGTGAGGGAGTGAGAGCCAATGAGCAGCTTTTATCCAGTTTTTAGAAAGATGAGCTTCCAGCAGGTACTCTGCGAGCCAAAGCAGGAGACCTGAAGTGAAGTCTTGGCTCTCATGCCTCTGCTGTTTTGCACCCGCAGTGGCTCTGCACACTCTGATTAATGGCCCTAACTATTTTTGTCTGACTCTGTCTCTGTTTTTCTTCATTCTTTTGCTCCCACAATTTAACGTTACTCTTCCATGCTGCCGTTTCACATATGGATGGGCGCACCAACTATTTATTTCTGAAGACATGCAGACTATAAGAAGAAGTGTGAAATGCCAGATTTTGCGCCGCTTCTGCACTTCAGATAAATAACTGCTGTGGTGTGACTCTCCCGAGAAGATGGAGTCCCGATCTGAAACAGCCAAATGTTTGCTCAGCCACTCACGTTGAAGGTAGACAAATGATTCCTCTAATAGGTTTTAACTCACTGTTCTTCTCTGTCTCCCTCCAGAGATTTACCTGTGTGTGGAAGATATGTTTGCAAGCTCCTTTAGGATCATTTGGTTTCTCCTGGTGGTAAGCTTCTTACTTGGCTCTCACTTTTTATTCTCAGAGGGACGTGCTGAGAGGTAAAATTCTCAAAGCTCTCCTCTTTCTGTATGCCATGCACATGTGCATTCATTTCCCATTAAATGGACATGTTATACTCTGCGGTCCAGTGATTTCATTCATCAGCAAAAACGCTCTGAACCACATGATTATTTTCTACTATCCATTATAAATTAAATTATTCAATTAGCTCAGCTTGGCTGGACAACATCAAAGACAAAAGTATGATTGTTTCAGTTATCTCTGTCTGCTTGTTGCAAACATACAGGTCGGGATGCAAACAACAAAATAAAATGCAAATCATTGTGTTTTTGCAGTAAATCCACTCGGACACGCTGTTGTACTACAAACAACGATCACAAGCAAAATGTGTTATATCATAACTTGTTATCACAAGAAACAAAAACTGAGCAATGCATTATTTGTGCTTTATGTTGTGAAATGTAAGCAAAAAATAGCTGTTGTCACAAAAAGCAAACAACGTACTAAAAAGGGTCTGTATGGTGGCCCTAAGGTGTAAATGAACAACACTTGAAAAAAAAAAAGAATTACATTTGAAAAACAGAATTATATTAAACTAAAGCGGAAGTAATTGGAATCACATTTGATAAAACGGAATTACATTAGAAAAAAAAAGGAAATTATATAATTTCTGAACGAGTCAGTTTTTTCTAATGTGTTCCGTTTTTTTTTTAAATGTAATTCTGTTTTTTTCAAACATGATTCCGACCACTTCCACTTCGGCCACTTCCGCTTTGGCTTAGTGTAGTTCCGTTTTTTTCAAATGTTGTTCATTTACGCCTCAGGGCCACCGTAGGTTTGTGCAAAGGCACTGCATAAGATTAGTAGATCTTTTCTTGTACAGTCTGCCACTTAAAACGTGTACAAATTACATTTTTATGGGTTGCACTTGGAGTCATTGTAAAAGTAGCAAAAATATTCACAGTTGTTTATTTGATTTGAAAAATATTTCACTGTCCCAACTGCTTGGAGAAGGCGTTCGACCGCGTCCCTCGGGGAACCCTGTGGGGGGTACTCTGGGAGTATGGGGTACCGGGCCCTTTGATACGGGCTGTTAGGCATGTTAGGTATGACCAGTGTCAGAGCCTGGTCCGCATCGCCGGCTGTAAGTCAGGCTTGTTCCCGGTGAGAGTTGGACTCCGCCAAGGTTGCCCTTTGTCACCGATTCTGTTCATAACTTTTATGGACAGAATTTCTAGGTGCAGCCAAGGTGTTGAGGCGATCCGTTTTGGTGGCCTTAGGATCACGTCTCTGCTTTTTGCAGATGATGTGGTCTTATTGGCTTCATCAGATCGTGATCTAGAGCTTTCACTGGAGCGGTTCGCAGCTGAGTGCGACACGGCCGGGATGAAGATCAGTTCCTCCAAATCCGAGGCCATGGTCTTGAGCCGGAAAAGGGTAGAGTGCCCTCTCCGGGTCACGGAGGAAGTCCTGCCCCAAGTGGAGGAGTTCAAGTATCTTGGGGTCTTGTTCACGAATGAGGGAAAAATAGAGCGTGAGATCGATAGGCAGATAGGTGCAGCGTCTGCAGTGAAGCGGGCGCTGTACAGGTCTGTCATGGTGAAGAGAGAGCTGGATAAAAAGGCGAAGCTCTCAATTTACCAATCGATTTACGTTTCTACCCAGAGGAAGACCCAGGACACGCTGGAGGGACTATGTTTCTTGGCTGGCCTGGGAATGCCTCGGCATTCCCCAGGAGGAGCTGGCCCAAGTGGCTGGGGAGAGGGAAGTCTGGGCCTCCCTACTTAAGCTGCCCCGTGACCCGACCCCAGATAAGCGGAAGAAAATGGATGGATGGATGTCACAACATTGTTGTATTTCTATGGTGTTACTGTCAATCTTACCCAAAGTAATAGCTCCAATCTTCAAATAAAGGGTCATGTGTAAAGGGAATGAACAAATATCCCATCTGTTGTAGAGAGCTTTTCAAACAGCTTGAGTTTAGAGAAAGAAAGTTTTAATCTGACCAGACTAACTAGCTAACAGCTAACAGACCACAGTGGATTGCTTCCATCTTAAAACAGCGTTAGTGTCCAGAACACTGTCTTATAAACCTTTACATAGTCAATGAATTAATATTAGGCCTACAGGATTTTACTGACAGAAATATAATTTGGGGCTGCATCAGAAGTGCTATAGCTAGCTGCAGCTTCCACTATTTTCTGCTGTAAATAGCTGAAAAAATGTTTTCAGTTACCCATGTGATGTGAAATTAATGAGAATGTAAATGTTTTTAAACATGATGGCACAAACTGCTGTGAAATTCTCAAGATTAGAAATGTTTTAAGATGACAGCGCTTAACTTATGGTTCCTGCTAGGACTAGCTATTAGCTCGTCAACTCAAATAGATTTAAAGTCTATTTCCTGTGGTGGGCACAACTAATTAAAAAGTTTAACATTTTTTTCACTCAACCTTTATTTAGACAGGTTAATCCCAATGAGCCTCGGGGACTCATTTACAAGAGAGACCTGATTTTAACAAAGAATGATGACAACAGTGGACAGTCATAAAATAGGCATACAAATTTAAATTTCTTCTTTCTTTTTTTTTAACAAATCAAAACAAAATAGCAACCAAAAGGGCAGTCAAAAGGAAAAGTAGCGAGAAAAAAAAAAAAGCCCAGCTAGATTATAAGGCGGTGTAAAAAACTAAAAACAGGAACATATCTGTGTTGGTTTTTCCCAGGAACTTAACAGATTTTTAAAGCCACAAGGTCGAGAGCTTCAGATCTTTTTGTAAGATATTCCAGGAAACAGGAGCGGAGTAGGAGAAGGCACTTTTGCCAAGTTCAGTTCTCACTGAGGGAACACTGCAGGTAATAATGTCCTGAGAGCGCACGCTGTAGCTGCACTCACTCAGAGACATGTAGGAGGAGATGTATGACGGCAGCAGACCAAGAAGTTGTTTAAAGATGAAAATATTTGCAGATGCTAAACTGCAAAACAGGTAAAAAATAATAATTAGCAGAAGATAACACTAAACCTCTAACCGCTAAGACAACTGTCACTCTGCCTGCGTCACACGTCTTTGTCCCCCTCCAGTTGAAGGTGCAATCGAACAATTATACCTTGTTACATGTACACGTAATAAGCCAATAGCATGCCTAACAAACTCTTCAAGACACGCCCACAACAAAAGGAACAAGCTTGTGAATTTTGTTAAGACTTTAAGTTGGCGAAATCTAATTTAGCACACGCTAATGGTTTCTAAAGTTAGCAAAAACGCTAATCCATTAAACTAAAACATTGTTCTGCTATTAGCTGTTAGCAGACTAGCGAAACTGTGCCCACCGCTGTCTATTTCTCCAAACTGAGGTTGCTCAAAACACTATCTACAACAGGTAAGATTGTTACTGTTCTTTACTCATCCACAGAACCCCACTGTAAAAGTTAACTTGTTTTCACAAGTAAAAATAATAAGGCATGCTAAAGTTTGTTACAAGCCAAAAAAAAGTTGTTACATGACACATGGGCAATGAACCTGCTTACATAAATGAAAAAACAAAAAAAAAAAAAATGGTATCAGTTCCTGGAAAGAACGTCCCATTTTAAAGTGGAATATTTAAAAGCACTTTCCATTGAGACTTGTACATAATAATCATTTAAGCACATGTACAAAATAAATAAAAAACAGGTCTCAACTTGAAAAAATTACAAATCTTTAAAATATAGGGGGTTTGGTCTGAATCTGCTGACTCCCAGCATTCATTGCAGCTTGAAGCGCTGAGTCATAATGGTCAAAGTTTGACAAACAGCATTCATATGCTTAATGCACTTGTTCTCACCATCAGTCAAACATCTCAGCACTTAACAACTCAGAAATCATGCCGGGGTGGCACATTCTGGCACCGAGCATCGTTACTAAAAAATGGCAATTTGTAAATGAAGGTGTTCGAATTAATCAAATCAGTTTATCATGATGTAAGTCCTCATGGCTACTCCTACAAATTACAGCAAACGTCTGGATAAAAGCCCTCTAATAGAAATTATTTAAACAGCGAGGCTCCTAGTTTGGAGCTTTTATAAAAGTAAAGTTTGTGAGATGGGGGCTGCTGCAGGCAGCTTCACACCAGCACTATGTTGTGTTCATGTGTTAATGGTGCTTCCATTTGAGTTAAGGATGATGAAGTGAGTGTGATAAATGACAGAGGCCTCGGTATGTTGGTGAAGAAACAGAGATTCTGCTCAGCGGTTGATACTAGTGGTGGCCTGGTGGTCGTATGTATGACGTCATTTACTTCAATGCTTGGAGTGACATCATATGTACGGCTGCTAAACTGCTACACGGTACGTCGTTTCTTACAAAAGTCACGTTTTAAGTGTTTTGTCTTTTGCAAGCCTTTATGACAGGAGAGGTAAGAATGATGTTTTGAGTCTTCTACCATAAAAAGTATGTGGGTAACAAAGCTGTGCCTATCGATTGTGATACTGTATGTGCACACAATCCTGGCAAGGTACGGAAATTACTCAAATAGTTCATCAAATGCAAATGCATAAGCTGGAACTCAGAGAGGCTTAATTTTCAGCCAATAAAAAAGAGAGAATGAAAACAGATAAGTCACAGCCTCTTTATTCTTCACTGAGCGACGCGATCAAAATCAACATTTCACACAGCGAGCCTTTTTCATTTTAATACCACCACCAAATACAAACAGTGGAGCAGAGATTAGATTCATTTGGAGAAAACCGGCTCTTAACTTCTTTTGTGCTCGTCTGAACACACCGTAATGAGTTACACACTCAGTGAGGGAGCTGAACTTCACATCAGAGGGAAACTATGATCCGATCAGCTTTGAAGAACGCTCCATTAAAAACGTCATCGCACATAAAGACGTGCATCTGCATTCAAACATGGCCGAACTGTGAAGTAGGAGCTCTCGTCCCAGCTGAAGGCAGGGTTTGCTTTTTGTTTCACCTCTGATGTCCCGTCTCTGCAGATGAGGGTGACAGCAGGCAGTGGACAAACCTCAGACACGTCACTCAGCCTTGGACAGAATGAGCAGAGCCAGGGACATCACAAATGCCTTAAGTGGTCCAAAAAAGACCACAGAGAGAACAGAACCGGTGAGAGGCTTGTTCATGTAACTGTACTGTCAGACATTTGCATAAGAAGCACCTTGTAGGCACAGCTGACCTGCTGGGGACGCTTTCATCAATATCAACTATCCAATAACTAACTTCAGTCATTAGACTTGTTTTGTTTCTTCTCTTGAGGTGTGTTCTGCTCTCATACGTGGGACGGCTCACTGTGCTGGAATGAGACACGGGCCGGGACATCTGTTACACAAGACTGTCCAGATCGCCCTGACCTAGATGCACACGGTAAGACAGCTGCACACTTCTCACGTTGGAGTAGAACAACCATCTGGCTGAACTGAGACCAGATTGGTTTTCTGTGTGAATGTCCTCCCCCCTCCCCACCCCACCTAAATAAAATAAAGAAAATTATTTTGTGTGACTTTGGACACAGTCAAAGAAAATATGTTTTTGTATGATAGATGTTGGTTTGATTTAGATGTTGCTTCTGGATGCTCTCTGCAGCCTCAAACATCCGATATCTTTACCCGCTTCTTCCTTTTTGGGTCACAGGGGTCACTGGTGCACATGTCCAGCAGTCACTGTGGGAGGGGCGGGGGACACCCTGGACAGGTCTCCAGTCTATCACACGGACACATGGAGACAAACGAGACAAACAACCATTCACTCTCTCACCTAGGGACAATTTAGAGTTCCCAATCAGCCTAACATGCATGTTTTTGGTCTGTGGGAGGAAACCCACGCAGCATAGTGAGAACATAAACTCCTCCCAGAAGGGTCCCGAGGATTTGAATCAACGACTTCTGGCTGAGGCAACAGCTCTACCAACTGCGCCACCGTGCCTCCCCAGTCTCAAACAGTTAACATAATTGATTTATATTTTTATTAGTAAAGCTAATTATACATCTCTTTATGTGTCATTTTAACAAACAGTACAGAATAGTAAAATATATATATTTCTAATTAAACTCTCCTCTTTATAATTATTTAATCCTTAATGGAGGTTTCTGTTGCAAAGGCTCATTTGGATATTTGTCTGACTATAAATGAATAATTTATGCGTTAAATGAAACTGGTTTGACTCTAAAAGTGAATCAGATGTACATCCAATTATTACCTTCTGTTAGTTTTATCAACATCCATCCAGTAATTCATGTGATATTTTACTAACACACACACACATGCAGGATTGTCCAGCGGTCGGTGAATGGACTAGTTTAAAATCGGATGCAGGTTTCTCTGAAGGACGTGTCTGAGGGACGAACAGTTTTGATTCTGAGTGACCTCGTCTTCACTGCGTTTGGTCCAGACCAGGATCCACGCGACGCCGTCCATTTGGATGATTACTTTGCAAGGTTTCCATCCTGGAATTTTATTTTGAAGTCCAGAGTTCAACACTTGTTTCTGGTTAAACTGTCACACAGAGGACAACAAACTGCTTTTATCATTTTCTTAAACCACTGGATTGATTTCACAGCACTGAAACAATTCAGCTGAGACTTTTCATTTTCTTCTTCTGCGAAAGCAATGCATTTTTGATAAACTACTTACTTTTGTCTGAAAACAATTCATCACTTTTAAAAGAGTCTTTTTAGCCCACAATATGGTTTTTATTACATTTTGCATGTAAAACTCATTCACCTTCTGTTCTTTTTCACACAAACACCATTATTCCTGTGAGATTATCCTTGCAGAAATGTTAGCCAGGCTTAAACCTTCAACCAAATAACAGATGCTCCTGTTTGCCACATTTAGGGAATACTCATGACCCAACATGTAGATACAAGCTAATATTGTGTTACTACTGAGGCAGCATTCATGTGATTGTGTCTTTTATTTATGAGTTTGTCTTTTGAATCTAACATCTGCACTGCACTGATTTAGCCATTCTTAAATCTATAACATTGCACCGTTCAGCTTCTTCGGGGGATGGGTGCAGAGAGTTTTGGTTGTAGTATACGTTACAAAGTATTGAGCTCAGTCTTTTCCTCCTTGAGATCTCTTCAGTTCCTTCATAACGTGCTCTGTTTCTGCATATACTTGCTTTATTTTTGTCTTCTACAGTATATGGTGGTAGCTCGGTGGTCAGTGCCACAGTTTTGTAAACTTGAGGTTGTAAGTTCAAGTCGAGGTTGTGTCAGGAAGGTCATCTGAGGTCAAATGTTTCATGTGAGTTCACTCACGGTGACGACCCGTGCAGAAAGGAGCAGCCAGTTTCCTCCCACAGACCAAAAACATGCATGTTAGTCTGATTGGTAACTCTAAATTGTCCCTAAGTGTGAGAGAGAGAGTGCATGGTTGTTTGTCTCCACGTGTCCCTGTGATGGACTGGAGACCTGTCCAGGGTGTCCCCCGCCCCTCGCACAGTGATTGCTGGACATGGGCACCGGCGACCCCCGTGACCCAAAATGGAAGAAGCGGGTAAAAGATGATGGATAGATAGTTTTGTCTTACAACTATCCATTTGCTACTTTAGTTTAATCTGCAGTAAGTTGTTGCTTCTTTTAGCTATCCTTTGCTACTACAAGCTTTTATCCAATCTTTGCTGCTTTAAGATAACATACCTGCTACTTGTAGTTTTTTGAAGCTACCCTTTTGCTACTTTAGTTTTATCTAGATTTTTGCTGTTTATAGCTTGTAGCTATTGTTTCACCTTTTAATCTTTAAGCCAGCTACACCACATTTATGCTAATTAGGCTTTTTGCTATATTTAGCTCTAAGCAAGTTTTTTTTCTTTATTAGCATTTAGCTAGTGTTTAATTTTATCAACTTTTGCTAGTGCTCTGCTTCTTTCAGCTTTTACGATTCATTTTAATATTCTTTGGCAAATGTCATCGTTTATTCAGCACTCAACAAATAATGTAGCAGAGATTTGTGTCTTAGATTTAAGGTAAATCATTAAAAGATTGCACTCTGTCCGTCAGACAGAAGAAGGACAGGCGTTTGTTTAAATTTAGGCTGACTGGATTGGATGGTTTCATCTTGAATTTGCAGTGCGAGGACTTTCCACAGCAGGTACCGTTTTTACATTGTGAGTTATGAGAGGCTCAGTGATGTCTCGCTGAGAATATCCAGACTCCAGTCGTTTGTGATTTAGGAGATGCAGCGTGATTAGGAGAAGGAAGGTGAGGTAGAGGACAGAGACGAATGAGGAGCATGTGGAGGGGAAAAGGAGAGGAATCACCAAAATAAGAGCGGTAAGCTGGAACCAGTGATGTATGAGGAGAGAGAATATGAAAGAAGGAGCAGAGAGGCTGTTTTTGTAAGAAAAGCCTCATCAGGGATCTTCCCTAAATGCCTGCGACTCTGAGAGTCCCCTTACAGCTCCTTGACAGCGTGCACTGCTGCTCGGGGGCCTTGGGGGCGATCGTACAGTTGGATGTGGTTGATGAGCAGTTGATGAGCTGTCAGGGAGGACCAGCCAGTTGTTGTTCCCGTTGTTGTCAGGAACAACGTGACCTCGCTCTCATCCCAGTCACGGATCGCCTGTGCATGTGGTTTTAAGATGAACACTTGAGAGCGGGCCAGAAAATTACTCCAGAGGTGGAAAACATTCTGTTTGAAGGTGTTTGCCAAAGTAAATTATTCATAGTTTTTTGGTATTGCCAAGATTGTCTGTATATTTATTGTGCCAAGACGATACGGCTGAAAAAGACTGAGCGCGCCAAAGAAAACAAACTCTATATTATAAGAGAAGGAATTCAAACTAACCTTCCTTAAAGGAATGTGTTTTGCCATTCACGTCGTTTTATAACAAATTTCACAGATTTTGTACACTCAAGTATGTAATTAGGATGACTGTCAGCTACTGTCACACAAAACTTTAGCTCAATATCTTCAAAAGTCACAGATTGTTTTTAGACTTTTTTGTGTTCGCTAAACTTTACTAGTTTTAATAACCATCATGAAATAGGTTTCATTAAAACCTGTCCTGTGGAGTATGACATATTTTGCTAACAGTCAAACAAACACACGGATGCATATTCAACTAGAGAAATTGCATTTCCTGTGAAAATGCAGTGTGAATGCTTATTGCTGAAGAACTTGCTGAAAAACAGCTGAAATTAGCTAAAAGAATGCAGAAATGTAGTGAAATGGAAGAACAAGCCCAAGATAGCAGAAGACAGCAGAAAGAACACATTTGCTGAATTAGTTTTAAATAAGCAGAAATGAACAGCAAAATTAGTAAATTGGCTAAAAAAAAGGCTGAAATTAGCAACAAAAAGCTGAAGCTGAAAAGGCAGAAAGAAGCTTAAACTACCAGAACAAAGTGGACGGAGCTGAAAAGAGCTCCAAAAATGTGGAGTTAGATGAAAAAGGCCAGTTTAGTACAAAAGCAGCTAAATAGTAGCTGAAATAGCAGAAAAGCTGAAACTAGCAGAAGTAAATTGAAAAGAGCATAACAAGCTGAAATTAGCAGAAATAATGTAATTAAGTTGAAAGTAGCAGAAATTAGCACAAAAAATTTGAATTTACCTGAAAACAGCTGAAACAAACTAAAAATGCTAGCAAGGCATCTGAAAAGATAGAACAAGCTTAAATTAGCAGAAGAATGCAGAAAAAACATGTTTGCCCAATTAGGCTGAAAGAAGCAGAAATGAGCCCAAAGAAGTGGAAAATATTTGAAAAAAAAGTAGAAATTAGTAAAAATAAAAACAACAACTGAAGGGTAGCTAAAAAAGCAGACAAAAAAGCTTTAATTATCAGAAGGAAGTGGAGCGAGCACATTTTTTGCTGAATTATGCTGAAGATGTGAAGGATGTAAAATGAGCTCAATTCATTTCTGAGGAAGAAAGTGACAGAAAAGGCTAAATATTTAAAACAGCTAAAGTTGCACCAGTACCAGAAGTCATAGCGCCCTTCTCCTGGAGCAACTGATCTACGATTTGTTGAAAAAGCACAAAAAAAGGATCACGGTAAAGTGAATGCTTCATAAACATTCACACAACTACAAAGTACATGACTGTCCACCATTAATGGCAGCAGCAGGCAATAATAATAATAAGTGTACTGTGCATGTAAATCTTTTTGGGATAGTTGTAGGGCGGCTGTGGATGAGTGGTTAGAGCAGTCGTCCTCCAGTGCAAGAGTTGGGGGTTCAATTCCACCAGCATGCACATGCCACAGTGTCCCTGGGCAAGACACTGAACCCCTCATTGCCTCTGATGTGTGTCCCATCAGTGTATGAATGTGATAAAGCTCTGATTAGTCTTTGTAGAGATCTAGTAGAGTGATGTATGGATGGGTAGATGAGGACACGGGTTGTTGTAAAGAGCTTTGAGTATCTTGATAAAATAGAAAGGAGTTATATAAGTACAGTCTATTTACCATTTATTCTTAGATTGAACTCCATTGCCGTTCTCTCTCTTTTTCTTTTCTTACAACAGAAAAAGTGACAAAATATTGTGACGGCTCAGGTAACTGGATCCAGACAGGCTCCACGTGTGAACCAGCTTTAATAGACAAGCTTCAGGTATGCATTGTTGGAAAAAGTAAAGAATCCTGATTTGCTTTTTTAATGCACATCAGTTGACTGATTGTCACGTTTGTGTTCAAAAGGTAATTCATTTTTTAAGGGATGCCGTGGAGGCGCAGGCCACCGAGGCCATGCGGGTTCGAGCAGAAGAACTTATTCTTGAAAATGAAAACAAATGTCTTGAGAAAATAAAAAACGATCCACCTCATAATAAATCAGGTACGCATGCTGGCTAGCAAATCATCTAAAAATATTCCCCAAAATAAATCTCTTAATTTTATGCTTGTATATTCCTAAACAAGACGATTGTAAACATTTTTCCTTTTGTTGTGATGGTGGGGCGACAGGCCTGCACTGTAGTCGTAACTGGGACGGCTGGCTGTGCTGGGACGATACTCCAGCAGGAAACTATGCTTCTCAGAATTGCCCTCATTATTTTGATGACTTAGATCCAACAGGTCAGCTGAGAATCATATACATTTTCTTAATTATAGCTTCTTACCTTTTAATGATAAGTTATAATCCATCTTTACAGAAAAGGCAACTAAGTTTTGTGGAGCCGATGGAAAATGGTTTCATCATCCAGAGAGCAGCAAAAGTTGGACCAACTACACTCTCTGTTCAACCAGCCGTGACAAGAAGATGAGGGTAACGTGTTCCATCGTACAGAATGAGGGACTGGTTAGTTTAGTTTATTTATTATTTGTGGGCGGCCGTGGTGCAGTGGTGGTGGCAGCCGACCTCTGATCGGAAGGTTGGAGGTTCGAATCCCGACTTCCCACACCATGTGCCGTTGTGTCCCTGGGCAAGACACTTAACCCCGAGTTGCTCCCGGTGGGACTGGATGGCGCCTTGCATGGCAGCCTACCGCCACCGGTGTATGAATGTGCCACCGGTGTATGAATGTGCGTGTGAATGGGTGGATGGCTGGTACTGTAAAGCGCCTTGGGGCCCCTCATAGGGGGCTGGAAGGCGCTATAGAAGTAAGCTCCATTTACCATTTACCATTTACACTTTTTGTTCTTCTTAGAAGCTGAAGCTGCGTGAAAATGAGCTCAAATGTTTTCAAAAGCTGAAAGACGACCCACCATTTAACAAAGCAGGTATCCACCAAAACCAGTTGTTTGACCCAAGTTTAAGAACACAAAGAGATCAGTGACAGGATGTTGCCATGTTCTTGTGGGTTTGCTCGAGGTCTGCACTGCAGTCGTAACTGGGACGGTTGGTTGTGCTGGGACGACACGCCAGCAGGAACGTACACGTCTCAGATCTGCCCAGAATACTTGTCTGATCTCAAACCTGCTGGTGAGTTAAATTTAAACCAGTTTAAAGATGTTAGCGCCTTCAAATGAGCTGCATTTTTTAAAATGAATCACAGAAGTGATTACTCAGCATTAAAGTGGTTCATTTATCATGCAACTCTTAGAAAATGCTACAAGGTACTGTGGAGAGGACGGGCACTGGTTCCAACATCCAGACAGCAACATGGCCTGGACCAACTACACTCTGTGTGTTGGCAGCGACAAGGAGAGGCTGCGGGTAAAACACGTCTCAAGTACTTCTACACCTCAAAGGTTAACGGTAGCTAAACTTTTTGCTGGGAAAAACTGAAAATCAAGCATGTTCAAGATGGTGGAATCTCCGAATTACACTAAAGGATGTCTGAATGGTGACCTTACTGGTGACTTGAAACCAGTATCCACCAGATGAAAATAAACAACAAAGACAATTTTCTGAATGACTTTATGAATACTGCACTAGTGTTGGCGTTTTTTAAATCTCACCCTCCAGTCCACGAGGTGGCGATAGTGTGCTGATTCACCAAACTGCCTGAATAGAGAAAGAAAAAAAAAAGCTGGATGGATTTCTTTCCAGGAATTTGAAGCAATTATTCTACAAATATTTAGAAGAGTAAACTCATAATTCAGTATTATGTCAAAACAAGTGTTGGATTTATCAGATCCTGCTCATATTTGTGTCTTTGACCCAGTCCTTTTAAATAGACACATTGGTTTTCACAACAAACTACACACTTTCAAAATTATGGGTTCCCCACAGTGAGACTGGTCCAGAGGATAAGTCTTCTTCTACTCCCTACAGCTCAGGCTGTTCTTCTGATTTCAGCTTTTTATAAGAAAACAGCAACGTTTCAGTCACACAATAAAAGCTAAAGATCACAAAAACTGCAAGACTGAACTAAATCACACACAAGATACACTCCATATAAGCTTTAATGTGATAGTCTGGTTGTTTTAGAATGATGTTTGGTCAAATAGTCGAGTTAGGACCTCATGTGATCAGTTTTAAAGCACGGAGCCAGTTTTCAGACTAATTAAACACCTGAGTCTCCAACAGGTTCATTAGTGTGAGTTAGCGTTCATTACGTGTTAAAATCTCTGTGTTAGGTATATTTAAAGTGACACAGGATCAAGCTGTCTCTCCCTGTTGTCAGTAAAACTGAGGTCAAGGCTTCTTAAACTTTGCATTATGAAAAGAAGACAGAACTTGCGCAGCCTCTTATCTCACCACAGAGATTTTTTAAACACACCTCTGCGTGCCGTTTTAAAATTTCTTTTTAGAAAGTTAGTGCAAGTTTTCTAAGATGTTGCCACATTTCTCCAGTTTATAGTTCTGATGCGACTTCTGCTGTTTTCACAGAAGCAGAGCATCTGCCCATCATCCATCAGCAGCCCTGTCTTTTTGCACCATCAGGCCATAAAACTGGCAACAAAATAAAATAAAACATTCACACTGAGGAAAACATCAGACAAAAAAAAAATATATATATATATATATGTATATATATATATATATATATCCCCACTCGAGCAACGACATTAAAAAAAAGGGGAAATGAAGAAGCATTTGGGATTAAAGGATAAGTGGACGACCAGATGCACATCCCAGTTAAATAATCAGATAAACTGAGTTAAATCAGTGAAGACTGAAAATATGATTGTGTCAGCAGAGGTAGATATTTTAGCAACTGACCAAACACTATTTGTTTTGTTAGAATAGCTAAAAGTGAGAAGCAGATAAAAAGTCACCCAAACTATGTGTTAAAGTTTTTCAGTCTGTGTTTAATTTGGCTGATGGTTGCTGTAAATATCTGTAATCCGTTGTGTTCGTGTTCCCCACAGGCAGCCGCTCAGTTCTCCAGGGAGGCAGAGGTGGAACCCACCACTGTCAGTCCAGTGGACCACCAGCAAAATCAGGAAATTGTGCGGAAAAAAATCCTGGACAGCCAGTACAAATGTTTTGAGAAAATGAACCGGGATCCACCTTACAACAAATCAGGTGAACATTAAGAAGAATGCTGAGTCAGCATTCACCGTCATTTTACCGTTTGTCATTCCTATCAGACAATTTTATTTTACTTTCAGATTTTTGACTTTGCAACCGTTATGTTCAGCTTGTTTGGGACTTTATGAGGTTTGGGTTTTGTAATTTTTGTACTTTTAGAAATATTTAGCTGTTCTTACTGTACATCTCTTTCTATTTGAAACAAACGAGAACAAATTTATGAAAAATGTTCTGTTGGGATTTAATCTGCATCAGCATGTTCATCTTTAACTTTAATCTACTGAGTCACTTGCTTTTGATTGTAGCTGCTGTTTTACTAAATTTGTCTTTAAGCTAGTTTTTCTGTAGATTTTACCTTTTTTTTAACCTAATTACAGCTTTTTTGGCTGGGTTTAATGTTTAGCTACTGTTTTTTTATATTTGGCTTTTAGCTCATTTTTTGCTGTTTATAAATTTTAGCTTCTGGTTTGCTGGTTTTAACGTTTAGCTACTGTTATTGTAACTAATTTTTTGTTGATTTCAGTTTTTGTTCTGGTTGTTAACTTTTATCAGTCTCAGCTTCTTCAACAAACTTCAGCATTCACACTGTTTTCACATAAAATGCAATTTTCTAGTAGTTAGTAACATTCATTTTAGAGTGTAGCGGTATTTAAATGTGTCTGATTTGTGTTTCTGGGTGACGGCAGGCCCGTACTGCAGCCGTAACTGGGACGGCTGGTTGTGCTGGGAAGACACTCCGGCTGGAACGTTCACGTCCCAAAACTGTCCCAACTATTTTGATGACTTTGACCCCACAGGTGAGTCATGTGACTCGAGCACATTGTCCTGCTCATTTGCACAAATTGATTAGTTGTGGATTTGTCACTTTTCAGAGAAGGCAACCAAATATTGTGGGGAGGACGGGCAGTGGTTTCGCCACCCAGATACCAACAGGACCTGGTCCAACTACACACTCTGCAATGAAAACACGAAGGCCAAGCTGAGGGTAGATAAGAATCTGAGTGTCAGATAGCTGCTGGTGGTGGACAGAGCGTGATCAATCAGGGTCTTGTTCTGTGGGTTTTAAGTTGTGGATAGTAAACATTAAAATTTCAAGTCACACACAGCTGCTGTATCTATTAAACTGAAAAGGTGCTGAAGCTGTGATATTTCCATCAAAATGTTACATTAAATGTCACCGGCTCAAACTGAGCAGCATCTCTCAAACAGGACAACCGAACAAAAGAGGTTTTAAGTTTGCATTTATCAGAACAAACCACCAAACTATTCTAAACTTCTTCTTTTTTTGTTCCTGAGACTTTACAGTCATGGTGTTCCTGCAGTCACACCTGTGTGGGAACTGACACGCTTTAAAGTTGCTGGTGCAAGATGTTCAAGTGGTAGGAGTTAATAAGATAAGATAGAACTTTATTGATCCCACAGGAAATTGTTGTGCCACAGTTTCAATACAAGGAACAAAGAATCACACAAGATATAAAAAAATAACAGAGAATATAAAATACCAACAGTTAAGGTCTAAAACTTGTCAGGTGCAGACAGAAACATTAAAGTGTTTATTGTGGTGCAGGGTTCATTTTTATTGCCTATGTGTAGAAAAAGAGGGAGGAGCTGACTTACCTTTCTTAAACCTAGAGACAGCCACACACCAAAATGGAAGTTGGTACGTTTCTTATTTTTCACTTCATCAAGCTCCAAAGACGAGCGAATGGACGAGTGGAGGGAGGTATTTCCAAATCCCCTCTTCGCTCAGTGACGGGGACAAAACTGGGGAAGCAAAATATCAACATGAACTAAATCACATGACAGTTCTAAGATTTGTGTTTATACAGTGGAAATGAAAAAAGTGCAGGGGACTGAACCCCCCCCCCCCCACACACACACACACACACACACACACACACACACACACACACACACCCACACACAGACAGTGACTGATGTTAATAATGATGATGTGTGTAATGAGACTTTAAATCCACTAAAAGTTGTGTTCATACAGGAAACACGCTGCACAAACATCCAGAATCTGACAGAACTGTCACCAAGAGTTTTATTTTAATAATGTCTGTTTTTCTTGTTTGTTTGATTTGTTTTAATCTACATTTTGACTTCTCGTATGTTCACAACTTTCACAATTTCCATTTTGTGTTTTGCAGTATTGATCTATCATTTATTATAACATTACTTATTAACAACTATAGTAATTATATATATATATAACTATAGTAATTATATATATATATATATATATATATAACATGAAGTAGATATTACTGTATATATATAATGATAATATTATATAAACTCCTGGCATAATGTTATCTAAACAAAGTCATTATTTCCAAAAAATAAATATTGAAATTATCAAATTTGACTCATCTGTATTTTAAAAAAAAAATACATTTTCTCATTCAGATAATTTAATAAAATATGATATTGTATTCGGCAGCACGGTGGCGCAACTGGTAGAGCTGCTGCCTCTCAGCGAACAGGTCCCTGGTTCAAACCCCGGTCCAGGGGCCTTCTGGGTGGAGTTTGCATGTTCTCTCCGTGCATGCGTGGGTTTTCTCCAGGTACTCCGGTTTCCTCCCACAGACCAAAAACATGCATGTTAGGCTGATTGGTAACTCTAAATTGTCCCTAGGTGTGAGTGAGAGAGTGAATGGTTGTTTGTCTCGTTTGTCTCTATGTGGCCCTGTGATGGACTTGCGACCCGTCCAGGGTGTACCCCGCCCCTCGCACAGTGATTGCTGGACATGGGCACCAGCGACCCCCGTGACCCAAAATGGAATAAACGGGTAAAGATAATGGATGGATGGATGGATATTGTATTCAAATTAATGTTAATCCATCTTTACAATACAAGAAACAACTTTTTTAGAGATGCTTTTTCCCTCCCTTTTTCCTTCCATTTTCTAACATATCTGTAATTATATATGTCTTTTGTTCTTCCTGCAGTCTGCCTACATCCTGTTTTACATGACGATAGTCGGCCACGCCTTATCCATCGCCTCCCTGCTCATCTCTCTGGCCATCTTCTTCTACTTCAGGTAACCGATTCAGTTTTGTGCTCCCGTCCTGCATGTCTGAAGCGTTCGTTGTCTTTAAACTCAATCCTCCTCACATCCAGTAGATCTGACAGCGACACAGATGCTTACATAGAAGGACAAACCTCCGGTTTAAGAGTCGGCATATTCTTCACTGTGCTTTAAACTAAAAAAGTGAATCAGAGTTTATTAAACACGTCCCTTGGAGCCACACAGGAGATTTTTTTAATGAAATGTATGAATGTTTTCAAGCATTTAATATAATTTCAAGCTAGAAAAACAGTCCACAGGTTTAAAAGACAGATGCTGAATCAAATAAAATACTTTCTTGCGCAACATCTAATGTACGATTCTATATGAAAGAGTTGTGACGTCATCTGAGTCCACAAGAGTCAGCGTCCTGCTCATTATGGGTTTATATGGAGCTGAACTTCTTTTGCACCCCAAAGGAAAAGATCACCATTAAATAAAATGCATCAGCCAAACATAAACAGTGAGATATTATGAATAAATAACTGTAATAGATATATATATTATTATAGGGAATGTACCTTTATTCTGATAGAAATTCAAGTAAATTGTGCAACAGTCTGCAATATACAGGTTCATTTTGTCAAAAGTATATACTTGATAAGTTTGTATGCTAAATGCATTTTTATTTATTAATAAAATAAGATTTAGTTTGATAGGTATCTTTAAGGAAATCAGTTTATGCCTTATTTACCAGAATAAATATTATTGCTGTATTGCTGGTTATGTCACGGTTGTAAATTTACTGACGGCTGAAATGCAGCTGTTGTTTAGAACCGAGCTGTAAAAATAAATTTTAGTTACAAAGTTTTAGACACATGTGCAGGAGCGAAGTTACAAAACTCTGTGAACCTCGGAGTCACACTCAGCTACATGTAATATTCCAGAGACAAAGAAAATGTTGTTTTTTTCTTTTTCGCCGAACATATTTATAGCCAAAGCACTTGAAGACTTCATTTTGTGTTATGAAATCCAGATGTGACTCTGCATGTGACAGTGTGTACCTGCACCATACGGTTATTTTGAACTGCACTTTAAGATTATCAAGAATCTCAGATATAAAAATTAAAAATAAACATAATAAATTGATTTGCTGTGTAAAACAGGAGCAGGGACTATCTAAAAATATTCAGAGGATTTCATAAAAACATTTTAATGTGATAAAAAATATTACATAAAAACTGCTTTGATATTTTCTTAAAACTCTATTATCAACATTGTTTTGTTTTTTTCAATGGAAACTATGGCCACAAAACTATATTCCAATAACTAAATTAATATTCAGAGTGGTCAAAACACTACCAAGTTAGATTCAGCTTTAAATCATTCACAAACTGCATTTTGTTTGAGTACTGTACTTATTGCTGATGACATGGATACTTATAGGCCTACTAGTACTTCATATTTTGATCCATAACTGTTTTTATGTCACTTATTACGCCTTTTATTACATTGTTAATCATGAGAGGCCAGTAAAGCGCATGAGAAAGCACCCTCGGGGAACATTATGTTTTATTTAACAATACTTCTAGCATGTAGAGCGGGGACCATTTAAATACAATTCAGTTCAAGGAGCCTCAGGATTCTTTTAACAACAAGAGTAAATACTATAAAATACTGTATGCATGGATGGATGCCCAAGTTTTTAATAGTTATGACATCACAAATGGTTCTGTATTGTCAGCGTGTTGTATTCATGATGCATCCTGTTCCACAGGAGTCTGAGCTGTCAAAGGATCACGCTACACAAGAACCTCTTCTGCTCTTACGTGCTCAACTCTGCCCTCACCATCATCTATCTGGTCACCGTGGTCAACAACCCCAAAGTGGTGGCCAGAAACCCTGTGAGTAAATATTTACCAAAAATACTGCTGCAGTGCATTTTATAATGTTTGCAACTCACTCTAATTCACGTTTTAATAAAAGCTATACTGAACAAAAATATAAATGCAACATTTTTGTTTTTGCTTCTATTTTTCATGAGCTTAACTCAAAGATCAAAGACTTTTTTACATACACAAAAATATTTTTTTTCTCTAAATATTGTTCACAAATTTGTGTAAATCTGTGTTAGTGAGCACTTCTCCTTTACTGAGATAATCCATCCACCTCACAGGTGTGGTGTATCAAGATGCTGATTAGACAGCATGATTATTGTACAGGTGTGCATTAGGCTGACCACAATAAAAGGCCACTCTAAAATGTGCAGTTTTTTTCACAGCACAATGCCACAGATGTCACAAGTTTTGAGGGAGCGTGCAACTGGCATGCCGACTGCAGGAATGTCCACCAGAGCTGTTGCCATGAATTGAATGTTCATTTCTCTACCATGAACCATCTCTAAAGGATCAAAGTTCATGCTCAATTAGGTGTCAGAAAATTTGGGAGTACATCCAACCGACCTCACAACCGCAGACCACATGTAACCACGCCTGTCCAGGACCTTCACAGCCAGCATCTTCACCTCCAAGATCATCCGAGACCAGTCACCGGGACAGCTGCTACAACAATTGATTTACATATCTAAAGAAATTCTGTTCAGAAACCGTCTCAGGAAAGCTCATCTGCATGCTCATCATCCTCATCGGGGTCACAGCCTGACTGCAGTTTGTCGTTGTAACCGACTTGAGTGAACAAATGCTCACCTTTGATGGCGTATGGCATGTTGGAGAGATGTTGTCCTCACAGATAAATCCCAGTTTTTGCTGAACAGAGCAGATGGCATTGTGTGGATGAGTGGTTTGCTGACGCTGTGAATCGAGTGGCTCATGATGGCGGTGGGGTTACGTTATGGAAAATTAACATAGAGGCTGGTTTGGTTACACGTAGTCTGAGGTTGTTAGGCCAGTTGGATGTACTGCCAAATTCTCTGAAACACTTTTGGAGATGGCTTATGGTAGTGAAATTACCGTAATTTCCAGTCTATAGAGCGCACCTGACTATAATCTGCGCACACTAAACTTTAAATAAAACACAACTGTCTACAAAAATAAGCCACGCCGCATGTGTCCACATTTTAATTTCAGGAACTGTACATAGCTCCTGACAGAATGTGCAGCTCTTGTTGTAATACAAGAATCAACCACCAGATGACGTTCCATATACTTTAGATTGCTTACAACACAGACACGAACTGCTGATCCTCATAGGTCTTCATGATAACACCCTGTCTGACTCATGGTTGCTCTACTACATACAGTAACCTACAACCTACTGAATGAACACACACTAGTCTAAGAGGAACAGACCAGTAATCACTGGAGAGAACAGTGCTGACGAAGCTACCGCTAAATGTTTTTGGCGGCAGGAAGCTAGTTAGCCCATGAAGAAAAAAATACGGTAATATTATTTAAAAAAAAAATACATAAACTAGCTGTGGCACTATAAGCAGTGGTGTCCAAAGCGTGTGAAAAAAATAGCAGCCTATACACAGGAAATTACGGTACCTTTCAATTCATGACAACAGTTCTGGTGGCATTCCTGCAGTCAGCAAGGCAACTGCTGCTCCCTCAAAACTTGTCACATCTGTGCTGTGATAAAACTTTTAGAGCGGCCTTTTATTGTGGGCAGCCTAAGACACACCTGTACAATAATTCTGCTGTCTAATCAGCATCTTGATCTGCCACACCTGTGAGGTGGGTAGATTATCTCAGTAAAGGAGACCAGGTCACTAACACAGATTTACACAATTTGTGAACATTTGATAGAAAAAGGCCTTTGAGTGTAGAAAAAGTCTTAAATCTTGAGCTCATGAAAAATCGGCGCAAAAACAAAAGTGTTGTGTTTATATTTTTGTTCAGTGTTGGTGAAACCACTAATACATAACCACAATTCTTTATCTTTATATAAACAACAACAAAAATATCAATTGATTAAAAAAATATATTTGAACTTAAAATATTAGCGTGTTTGTAAAACCAAATCATTCAGTGCATTTTTTTCAATGAACATGTAAACAAAATGTATTTCTGAGCTTTTGTTTCAACAGCAGAACGTAGTTTTCTTGAGGTCCATTTTCTCCTGTTGGAGCGTCACCGCCTCACTGAATGCAGATGTGAAATCTTTGAAACTCTGACGTCTGTTTAGGCAGAGGCAGTAAATCTGTCGTGGAGGAATGCCTCACTATCAGAACCAGGCATAAATTTTTGGTGTTACTCCTCAGGAATCAAAATAATGGCCGTCTCCTAACTGAACGCCCACTGTTTCTAAAAAATGTATTTGAAAAAACTTCTCTCACTCCAAAAAATAAAATAAAATAAATAAAAGACAGAAAAGATTTACATCAACTTTTATGACGACCCAAATAAAATTAAAACTATAAGGATCTCCAGATAAAAATAACAAAGTAAAACAGACAAAATATTTCTTAAAACTTTTCCATCACCCAAATCATATAAAATATTTAATAAGATTTTCACCATTTGTGTAAAAGAACTTCAAATGATCTCACAAAGCAGGATAAACGATAAACAGGACTGCAAGTGCTGCTCACTAGAATCCCATATCCATCAGCCTGTTTTCAGACAAAGCACTGGAAACTCTGCAGAGTTTAAATCTCAAACCTGCTGCTGCTTCTTTGAATGCATTACCAGATCTGTCTAGTTTCTACACATCATAGATGTACCCAAGAAGCAGACTAATCATTATCAGCGTATCATCAATGTTTCATCACATTCAGGAAGGAGGACGATGAGTTGTGGCTCCACTTCAAACTCTTGTTTGTCTCAAAAAGTTTTGTCTTGAGTCTGTTCCTTTCTGATGTACGGTGGTGAAGTTGTGCTTCCTTGCTGCAACATGTCAAAATAAAATGATTTACTGTGACCCTGCATCTTTAAAGGAAGCAGCAAAAGCCTCCAGGAGCACCAATGGTTTGGATTCACATGTGTCTGGTGGGAAACATTTTTGAAATTAATCGCTGCCAGAGCAAGACTTATGGGTCTGCTTTTGAGGCTGGTGATTTAGGAACTGTAAATTGTTGGAAACATTTGCTCTTGCTGAGAAAATAAGCTCTTTATATTCTCTGCGGTGTGATGATACAAACTCTGGTTTGGCCAGCCAGCAGCACAGGGGAGTGATACCCCAAGGCTTATGTCAAACCAGGGAGGAGGATTAAGACATGGGCCACATACTGCATCATTGATAGTTGTTCCTTCTTTTTTTAATAACCAGGGCAAAAATTGGTAATCAGCAGTTCAATAATGCTGATATCAGTGGTTTCCTGATTTAATGTAAAACTCCTAGAAAAAAACAAGAAATGTAAAAAAGAAAAGTGGATTAAAGTTTTACTGTGAGTTACTAAGAGATTTTGAGAGGCCAGGATTTTTAATTTATTTTAATTTGATTGCACATGTGCAGTCAAAACATTTAGTGCACATATTTTAAAAGAAACAAACTATTTTATGCTTTGCATTAGCAGTTGTGTAAGTACATCCTCTATTCATTATCTTTACCCGCTTTTTTGTTTCTGGGTCGAGTGGGTCAGTGGTGACATGTCCAGCAGTCACTGAGCAAGAAGTGGGGCACACCACAGACAGGTTGCATGCCCATCACAGGGCCTGTGTAAACTCAGAGACTGTGCAACAGCAACACAATTTGAGATAGAACATGTAAAAAGTACACGTAAAAAGTGAAGGGACCAAGTATATATCCATGTGGTACACCTTTATCAACTGTGTTGCTGCTTGTTTTGAAATCACAAAACAACAGAAATATGTTTGAATCAATAGAAAAACACTAAAAGCATGTAAGACATTTTAAAACATTTAAAATAAACAAAATGTTAAAAAAAATGATTACAATACTTTTTTATGACAGTAAGTTAGATTTTCCTGATTGTGCATTTTATTTGAACAAATCCAATTATCGACAAGAAGCAGCTCCCAAATCTAACATATATGGTGTGTAATTAGGGTCCAAAGATGTGTTAACAAAGATTTTAAAAACAATATTTAGAACTTCCATCCATCCATTATCTTTTATCCGATTCCTCCTTTTTGGGTCGCGGGGGTCACTGGTACCCATATCCAGCCATCACTGTGTGAGGGACGGGGGACACACTGGACAGGTCTCCAGTCCATCACAGGGACACACAGAGACAAATGAGACAAACAACCATTCTCTCTCTCACCTAGGGACAATTTAGAGTTACCAGTCAGCCTAACATGCATGTTTTTGGTCTGTGGGAGGAAACTGGTGTACCTTGAGAAAACCCATGCATGCACGGAGAGAACATGCAAACTCCACCCAGAAAGGCCCCTGGTCGAGATTTGATCCAGTGACCTTCTTGCTGAGAGGCAGCAGCTCTACCAACTGTGTTGCTCAATATTTACAACTTTTTCAGCTCAATTAATAGGTCATTTTGTTCCACTTTGACAAACTATGACCCATGGCGTGCTGGTAAAGATTCTCAGTCATCCAGGATATGATAAATTCAAAATACGTTCAATACAAAAACAACTGGACTTTATTTGTAACAGAAGACGTTTCGTTCCTCATCCGAGGAGCTTTCTCAATTCAAAGAGCAGTGAGTGAGGGGTTCAGGTTATAAGGCTGAGTGAGATAAAACATGCACACATATGTCGATTGGCAATTCACACCTAAACACCTTAACAGTAGGGGTTTCTTAAGGTTTTTGTTACTCTAATTCACAGATGAGGCCCCTCTGTTCCCATCAGGTGTGAAAACTGGCTGGGAATGAGTCGCATTATGGGTTTTTGAAAGTGGAAATCTGAGGCCTCCGCCTCTGTTAAAATATGTTTTTTCTCTTTTTACATAAATTGCTTCCTTCACCCCCCTCTCAAACCATCTGTGTTCTCGATCCAAAATGTGCACATTTTGGTCCTCA